AGAATGGATCCTTAGACAAACACTTGTTCTCTTCCTCCACTAGAAGCATCCTTCTTGAGTGGGAAAAGAGGTACAAGATTGCACTAGGTATCGCGAAAGGCTTAGCATACCTTCATCACGAGTGCCTAGAATGGGTTATCCATTGCGATGTAAAGCCTGAAAACATACTCTTGGATAGTGATTTTGAGCCTAAAATATCAGACTTTGGGTTAGCAAAGTTATGCCAACGCGGTAGCCAAGGGTTATCCCAGTTGTCCATGATGAGAGGCACGAAAGGGTATATGGCTCCCGAGTGGACAACAAACCTTCCTCTGACTTCAAAGGTTGATGTTTACAGCTACGGAGTTGTGATACTAGAGCTCGTGAGAGGGCTTAGACTATCGAGTTGGGTAGTCGATGATAATGTTAAAGAAGAGGAGATGCTTGAATTAAAAAGTTTTGTGAGATTTGCACAAGGAAAGATGCAAGATGGAGGGAATTCATGGATCGACGACTTGGTGGATTCGAGATTGGAGGGAAAATTCTGTCGAAACCAAGCAGTTAAAATGATTGAGATAGGTCTTTTGTGCGTTGAGGATGACAGGAACAAGCGTCCTACTATGGAATCAGTTGCCCAAACTCTTGCCGAGTGTGAAGATGATCAAGCTGCAACTATGTGACTCAACAATAATTAAATACGATTTGGTTATGTTCGAGTGCTCAATTATATACTTCATATGCAACTTTGAACAGCAATGGATAGATGGTCAGATTTGGACGAGGTCTTGAGAGAATACTTGGCTATATTTCTATTCCTCTTGAATCTTACCTTTCTGAGAAGAAATTATTGGGTAATACTTGTACTTTTTTTTTTTTTTTTGACAAATACTCTTTAAAAACATAATGTAAAGAAAATATATATAATTTAAACTTCAAGTATAATGTTAAAAATATAATGTTAAAAAAAAAAAACTTATTAAATATGATTTCTATATGAAATTTTGGGATATCTATCAACTTTTTATGGACCCAAAATTAAATATTTGGTTGACAAATGACAACAGTCAACAGCATATTCGTGCGAGGCCTTTTCAACGTCGTCATTCGGCCTCTGAATCTAGAAGCATTAGTACTTTTTTTTTGAAGACAGAAGCATTAGTACTCATTTCAAGTAACATACACTACAATCCTACGGAGTACCATTATACGAAGTCTATACTAGTTTAGATTTATTGACGTAATTTCTGTACATATAGGCTAGCAAAATATATAGTGTTAAATTAAACATTAAATGAGACAAATAAAAATACAAAATCAACCCAACAAATTGAAGTTTGAAGTTTCGTATTTGGTGTGCTGCTATTAGTGCTATAGTGCTTGCAATTGTTGAATAGATCGACTTCGATTTCTTACCATGACTTTCGATGGGTTTTATTTACTTGGCTAACTTCACTAACGTGTCAGTTGCATACGCTTGCACCACATACAAGGCTTTTCATATACCACCCATTAGCAACCACATACATACATACTTCCTTTGTATTTTTATGTGAAATTATTGATAGAGTATAAAACATATTCGCGAGCTTCAACTACTATCTTAATCTTTTGGTTGATTTGATCTTCTAACATAATATCAAGAGCTAGTGTGACACAAAGGCGCTTGGTATGAGGAGGATTCCTACTGCATCCACACTCCTGGGGTTCAACCATTAACTTAAACTTTTGGTTGAGTTGGTCCTCTAACAATTATTTATTTATTTGTAACATTACTCGCATATTTCATTTACAATAATAATAAACACAGTTGCATTAGATTTTATTACATTAATTTCATTAGTTTCGATGTTTCATTGTATTAATTCTTTATAATTTTCGCACATACGAGTTGAAAAGTAAATACAATATTAAGATTTACGAAGTATAAGTTGGTTATACGTTGGAAAACGACCAAATGTGAACAGTTGAAATGGAACAACTTAAAAATATGAAGTACCTGCTATTTTGGGCATTAGAAAAACACTAGCTAGCTTATTTATTTTCTTGGGAAAATCAAGCATCAAACTATGCTAAAGTAACTAAAAAAAAATAAAAAATAAAAAAAAAAATCTTTCATGGGCATCCTAACTATCTTCTTCTTCATAATTTAACACCACTTTTTTCTTCATTTTAGCAACATCTTCAAGTTATATCGCAAGAGGATCTTCCTTATTAGTCAAAAATTCGCGATCGGTTTCAAACCTTCTCTTCTGCCCTGATAAAACCTTCACTTGTGGCTTCTACACTTTCAATGAAACCACCCATGCTTACTATTTCTCAATTTGGTACACCAACACCAAGGACAAAACCGTCGTTTGGACGGCTAATCCCGTAAAACCCGTCCATGGCCAAGCTAAGGCTCGAGGTTCACCCTAAGGAAAGATGGTGCATTAGTCTTAACTGACCTCGATGGCTCAAATGTTTGGCAAACAAACACTTCCTCAACAAGTGTTGACCGAGTCGAGCTACTCGAGTCCGGGAACCTTGTCCTTAAGATAAACAACAGTGGTAATATTCTTTGGCAAAGTTTTGATTTTCCTACTGATACTTTGTTACCTAATCAACCTTTTACTAAGAACAATAAATTGATATCTTGAATTTCACCCCTTATTTTTGGTCCTGGATACTATAGTTTCTTTTTTGATAATGATAATGTGCTTAAAATGGTTTATGATGGCCCTGAATTTACAAGCATTTATTGGCCTAATCCTGATGATACTATATGGGGTAATGGTAGAACTATTTACTATAGTAGTAGGGTTGCAAGTTTTAATGATATAGGAACCTTTGTTTCCAGTGATTTGCTAGAATTTAGTAGTTTAGATTCGGGTTTAGGGGTTAAAAGAAGGTTAACAATGGATTATGATGGGAATTTGAGGTTATATAGCTTGAATAATTTGTCGGGGTTATGGGTTGTAACACGGCAAGCTATTGCTAAACAATGTAATGTTCATGGTGTATGTGGTAGGAACGGGATTTGTATTTATACACCGGACCCAAAATGTTCGTGCCCTCCGTACTATGAACCCGTAAATTCGAGTGATTGGAGTAAGGGATGCAAGCCTAAATTCGAAAGGGGGTGTAACGATTCTCAATTTCTTAAGTTACCCCATGTCGATTACTATGGATTTGAAAAACGTTACATTTAATGATTGTCAACAATTATGCTTAGGGGATTGTCATTGTCAAGCATTTAAACATGTAAGAAGAGGTGAGTCATGGTCTTGTTACACAAAAGGTGATCTTTTCAATGGGTATAATATGGCAGATGATAGTTTGTACCTTAGAATTCCAGCAAGGGTAAAGGTATTAGAACCCAATCGAATTATCCTTAATGTGTGGCGTTTGGTTTGTGGGGATCCGAAGGTAGTACTCTTGCCTGATTCGTATAATGATGCCTCAACTCGAAGCTTTAAGTGGGTGTATGTATACTCATTTGGTGGAGCTATTGGGGTGATTGGAGTAATTGAAATGATAATTCTTGTTGCAAGTTGGTGTTTTCTATTTAGGAAACATGGAATTTCGGCTTCTTTGGAGGAAGGGTATCGGACTGTTTCTAGTCAATTTAGGAGCTTCAGCTATAACGAGCTCAAAAAAGCAACCAACAAGTTCAAGCAAGTTCTAGGAAGAGGAGGATTTGGAGCTGTTTACAAGGGTGTTTTGGCCGATGCTCGAGTTGTAGCCGTGAAGAAATTAGAGAATGTCGTCCAAGGTGAGGAAGAATTTTGGGCAGAAGTGAGCACATTTGGTAGGATCAACCATATGAACTTGGCTCGAATGTGGGGATTTTGTTCTCAAGGGGAATACAGGCTATTAGTCTATGAGTACGTCGAAAATGGATCCCTAGACAAACATTTGTTCTCGACCTCCAATGACTTCCTTCTCGAATGGGATAGAAGGTTCAAAATTGCCTTAGGCACGGCGAAAGGCTTGGCTTACCTTCATCATGAGTGCCTCGAATGGGTTAAATCCATTGTGATGTCAAGCCCGAAAACATACTCCTAGACAGCGAGTTTGAGCCTAAAATCTCGGATTTTGGCCAAGCAAAGTTGTGTCAACGCGGTGGTCATGGTTTGTCCGAATTGTCCAAAATCCGTGGCACAAAAGGTTATATGGCTCCTGAATGGACAACAAACCTTCCTCTTACAGCAAAAGTCGATGTTTACAGCTACGGAGTGGTGATCCTAGAGCTCGTACGAGGTAATCGAATGTCGAGCTGTATGATGACAGGCTATGATCGTGATGATGAAGAGACACCGGAACTAAAGACTTTCGCGAGATCAATGAAGAGAAAGATGCAAGACGGAGATGAGGACGACGACTCGTGGATGACGGAGTTTGTGGATCCGAGATTGGAAGGGAAATTCAGCCAGAATCAAGCTGCTAAAATGATTGAGATAGGGCTTTTATGCGTAGAAGATGACAGGAATAAGAGGCCAACAATGGAATCAGTTGTTCAATTTCTTGCAGAATGTGTAGATGAAGCTGATGCAGTGGATGTCATAGAACCTTTAAGTATTACAGAAACAGAGTGATATTTAGCTAGATATATATAGATTGTTGTGTGTTTAAGTGTATTTGAGATTATTTTTTTATCAGTAATATAGTCTTCTATCTGATTGTTGAATGATTTATCATCAATAGTTTGATCATGTGAAAAACAAGGGTTGCCAAACTTATATTAGTCCCTATAATAATTTGCGCGTTTCAGTCCAATCTTTATTGTTTCTATATTTTGTGTAATTTGTTAATTACTTACAGTATATAGTGTAAAATATACAAAGTTATCCATACAAGAATAGGGATTTATCAAATTATCCATACAAGAATTTGAAGGGAAAACGAAAAATGAAGAGAAAACCTCCTTAAGATTCACATATTGAAACTAAGAATTGTTAAGTGATCACCAAAAATAACTACTAACAGCCTAAAAGGGGATGGCTCCACGGGGTCCACCACAAAATAGAGTAGGGATCGAATCGATAATAGAAGAAAATGAAAAACCCTTTTTATTTCACAGATCAAACCTCCCAATTTCTAATCGATCACCAAACATAAAAAAATACAATGGTGATTTTTGCGAAAAGATTCACAGGAAAGGTAGCCATTGTTACAGCTTCTACTCAAGGAATTGGATTTAGCATCGCTGAACGCCTTGGTTTAGAAGGAGCTTCTGTTGTTATTTCTTCTCGTAAACAGGTTATTCAATTCACTTCTTCTCTTTCCAAATTCGAATTGGAATTGAAATCGGAATCGTTTGATTTTGATTTGGGTTTGAAATTTTGATTTATTTTGTGGAAATTTGTCTCATAATTTCAACTGGGTCTAATCAATTTTGCTGAATTTTATGCGAATTTCTGTAGTTCTTGGGTTTTTTAGCTTGAAATTGAAAGTGGGTTTGTTTGGTTTTTGATTTGGGTTTGAAAATTTGATAATTTTTTTTTTTTTTTTTTTTTTATTGTGGAGTTTTGTCTTTGAATTTCATCAGGGTATATTAAATTTGATGAATTTAAACTAATTTTGTAGTTCTTGATTATTTTTGCTTGAAATTGTAAATGGGTTTATTTGATTTTGATTTTGATTTGAGCTTCCAAAATTGGTTTATAGTGAAATTTGTTTCTTAATTACATTTGTCTTTGATCAAATTTGATGACTTTTTTTTGTGGTTGATTATTTTTTAGCTTGAAAGTGGGTTCATTTTATTTTATTTTTTATTTGGGTTGTTGCAGAAAAATGTGGATGAAGCAGTTGAGAAGCTAAAGGGTAAAGGGATTGATGTTTTCGGTGTTGCATGCCATGTCTCAAATGCTCAACAAAGGAAGAATTTGATAGATGAAACTATAAAGGTGCCTTTTTTATCACCTTGATTTTGTTTTTGTTTTTGTTTTTTCGATGATTTCTACGTTTACGTTGATTTTATGATTTTTTTTCTAATTATAGAATGAATCATGGTTGTTGATTATGCACTATGATGGGTTTTGCTGATATTTTATTAAGTATTTAGGTATAGTGCATCTAATTCTAATTTTTACTCTGTACCTATTTGATCCTGAAATGTTGCTCGAGATTGATGAATGTGTCTTTGGTACCCAAAATGTAACCCTGACTGTGAGATAATGTCGTGCAATTGAAATAAATCGATTGTAAAATTCTCGGAATTTTAGCTTGAAAATGAACTAGGGAACTTCTCCTGATGTTATTCTTTTATCATTTACATGTTCTCTAATCTCTAAAGGCATAAGCTTTTTAAGGAGTGACTTCCTCACTTGTAAGAATATCTACTAGGAATAACTTAAACTTTTCATCACAACTTTCTGAAATGTTAAAGCTTTCCTTCTTTATTATTTTAAAAAGTTTTCAATGGCATTCTATACTACGGGAGTGACTTGCTCACTTGTAACAAAATCTACTAGGAATAACTTAAACTTTTCATCACAACTTTCTGAAATGCTAAAGCTTTCCTTCTTTATTTTAAAAAGTTTTCTAATGGCATTCTATACTACGGAGTAGTATTTGTTGTTGTCTTTCTGTAAACTGCTTTTCCTAGTATGCTCACAGAAAGTCCTTTCTTGCTTGCAGAAATACGGGAAAATTGATGTGGTTGTATCTAATGCAGCAGCTAATCCTACTGTGGATCCGATTTTAGATGTACCAGAATCTGTCCTAGACAAGTTATGGGAAATCAATGTCAAAGCTTCTATACTCCTTCTCAAGGTAATTTCTGTAAGAAGCTGGAGTAGTATATTGCTCCCTCTTAGTTCTCAAGTTATCAAAACATCTCACAAGTCATAATTCAGGATATAACATGAAATTAAAAATCCACCCTTTATATAGTTGTGTTATATCTATTTTTCCCTAATACTCATGGGTTTAATTGAAAATCCGATACTGTACTAGCAAATGTGACTTAACTTATTTGGGACATCCTAAAGTAGCACTTTGTGGAGAGAGTATTTCAGAATGGATGAGTTGTTGACATGTCAAGGCTTGTGCTGCATGTGGTGGACTATCTATTGTATTACTAGTATGCGTAATTTGGTCTAACTGACTATATTGTCTCTTCTGAGGAGGCTTAAGTTTCTGCCATATTCTTTGCTCTCTGCATCACTTTTTCTTTTTTTCTTTTTTTTTTTTTTTTTGATGCAAGCCGGGGAATTAGATTAGATTAGAGTAAATAGAGTTCAACAATACAAAGCAGTTAAGGAGGTCTATCCTCCATAATTACAGTAGCTAAGAAGTCAGGATAATTTTCCAAAATAACTAGATTACAATCAATGCTAGCATACGTTCTACGGTGCTTAGCCAAAAGATCTGCTGCCCTGTTGCTTCCTCTTGGTTCATGGTTGAGCTCGACACTATGCATCCCCTCTAAAAGGTCGCATTGTTTGACAATAAGCATGCTAGCATCTTTGCCCGGATCCTCTGGTTGCACTCTTTCAAAGTTAATTGAACGGCTTCTGGGTTAGCAAACCAGATAAGGAAGAAACCTTTACCCAGGGAAAAGAGTTCCCAGGATCCCGATGGCGGCAACACTTTCGCTAAAGAGCTTTAGGAAAGGGAAAGAGAAAGATTTACCGATAACCTTACCAATTATGGAATTTTTCCACGAATCACACAAAGGGGAATGAAGGCATGAAGGGTTGGGTCGAAAGAATCTGGAGGGGCTGAAGCTGCAGTAGAGGTAAAGGAGGTAAGCAGGGGGATTGAGGACCAAGGCGAGTGAGTTAGGGCTTCCTTAAACGACTGAAGGGCGGAGGAGAACACGGCGGCGCTACCAGACGATGAAGAAAGACGGAGACCTGCAGGCAGAACAGGGGGGTCAGGGGAAGGGGGAGACATAATTAAAAAAAAAAAAAAAAAAAAAAAAAAAAAAAAAAAAAAAAAAAAAAAAAACCCTATTTCAGGAATGGGGTGATTTTTTCAAGAACGAGAAATGGAACTTTTTTTGGGTGATTTTGAAAGTCAACCTTTCTCTGCATCACTTTTTCAAAAATATCTAGTGCTACAAATTTTCCCAATTTCTTTACCCTCCTTCAAAACAGGTCGATTGCTCTAGCAAAAATTTGCCAATGGGAAGCGTCGAAAGCATGGGTAATATTAAAAGTTGAGCAGAAGTGGGAAAGAAGCCTTCCCAATGAAGGAGTTTCTTGAATTTGTTCACTAAGATTCTCTTTCTGATGTGCCTTTTTATAAGATCAAACAGCCTTTTCTTCAAGTGTTGCTTCCTATGGATAACCATATTCCAATGATTCTTGAATGTTGGTATCATATTTACGTGATAACATCTAACATACGAGTAGCCACTTATTCAGTTTTCTGCAGTTTGATTTTACGTGTACAAGTGTGACTTCCATCACGTACCTATTTTTCAACATATGGATAATGGAAAGTAATTGACGAGCCAAGTAATTAATTTTTATTGAATTGTGTTTTCTAATGATTTGTCTCCCCACCCCCCTCTCTCTGCTCCCCTGGATCAGAGTTTTTACTCCACATTTGCTGAGCTTCAACTGATTCCAACCTTCATAGTCTTTTATGTCTTCTTTTTAGGATGCTGCACCCCATTTGACCAACGGCTCTTCAGTGGTTTTCATCTCATCAATTACTGCTTATCAACCTCCATCATCTATGGCTATGTACGCAGTGACAAAAACAGCTCTTCTTGGACTTACAAAGGTACTAGTATCAAGTCTTACAATGTGGATGCCATTTATTCTGTATGTAAACTTTTTGAAATTTCGCACAATACAAAGTAAATGATTCGTATCATACTCCCCTGTTCTTGAGTAGGCATTGGCAGCTGAGATGGCCCCAAAAACTCGTGTCAACTGTGTTGCCCCTGGTTTTGTACCTACCCGCTTTGCTGATTTCCTCACAAGCAATGATTCAATTGTAAGTGTCATTCTAACAAACACTTTCCCCAGAACTTTATAATGTACAACATTGAAATGGTAACTAATGTTTTGTGGAAACTATAATGTCAGAGGAAGGCTATTGAAGAGAAGGCACTTCTTAATCGACTTGGAACCACAGAGGACATGGCAGCTGCAACTGCCTTTCTTGCTTCTGATGATGCCTCTTATATCACTGGAGAAACATTGGTGGTTGCCGGAGGCACTCCGTCCCGCCTTTAATTACACTTGCAGGCCCTCGCCTTTTTGTCTGCACAGCATTTGAAACAAGATTAATTAATCCCAATGTTTATTGTAATTTCATGATTTTGCATTTTTTATAGTCTTATAGTTATTGAGGCCAGGAGAGATCAGAGCTCACAGTAACCCCAGAGAAATTCCCTCCCATCTGCTGCTGTTAGGAATTCCGCCACCTAAATAAAGGGTCTGGAAGAGCATGGTTAATGAATACAAGAAATGTTATGAGAAAGCCGTCTTTGTTCCCCAACAATCTTAACAAGGGCTGTAAATCAAGAGTGGCTGTTCAAAAATATTCAGATACAGCAGACAAGAAGCGGTTGTTCAGTTCATCCTAGATATATTTTCTTTTTCTTTTTTTAAAAAGAAAAATAAAAAGTTGTTGAAAGGATATTATCACAGAATAGTGCATTGTATTCATAAATCTATTTTGTACCCAAGTTTCTTCGGCCTCAATCTTTCTGCGTTAAATTAGCACTTGCTCCTTACTTCCTTAGGGTGAGAGCGGCCTTCTCCTACACGGCTACACCAAGAGCTAGGTGTACTATTGGTGTTTTTTTGCTCGCTTGAAATTCCTCCAAATAAAGTATAAAATGGATAAATGAGCAAAAAAAACACCATTAGGTATACCTAACTCTAGATGTAATCGAGTACTCCATATAAAATTTGTATGAAGGTGATTAGCATAAAATAATAGAAAATAGTTTGATAATTATAATTTGAGCCCCCTTGGTTAGCCCAACTTAGCTTCCATGAAGAGTGCCTACATAGATGTCAATACGACAACTAGGATCCAAAAGTCCTATATCCGTACGACTTATAAGTAGAGGTCTCAAAACCACACCCAACCTGACCCGATTCAAAACCGACCTAAAATATATTCGATTTAAATCTCGACTCACATTGATACAATAATTTAGCATGATTCAACTTTAAAAATTAACATGACCTGACACAACCTTATCGAACTCGATCCGGACACCCAAATAGACACCTCTACCCATAAGCGCAGGTGCCTACATAGATGTCACTACAAACCTGTCACATCACTTCTGAAGTAATGAATTTTCTTTATCTCTCTATTTTCTCTCTAACAACATCATTTACTGACTTAACTATTGAAGGGGCTTTCTCATAAACAACCCTGAGGCAGTTAACCTTGTTAGTCTTGCAGGACCCAATTCGACTGTCCGAACAGCTATGCTTTTGCAAGACAAATCTATCAAATGGAGTCGCATCATGTGTATATGTCGTGGTAAATCAAAGCCAAAACAAATCATAATGGAGTAAAACAAAGTAAGGAAGAACCCCAATAATGATTAGTTAATCACATAATAAACCTTCATAAAACTCATGTTGCACTAAATTAAATCACCATTAAAAATTTCATGACCATATATTAAAATGTGAAGTGCACATAAATTTGAATCCCGCAAGTTGTAACTAACTTGACATTGTATGTGTACCAAACTGGATGCCTAAACCGTATGTGTAATTATACCGCCCTCAAATATTAATTCCTAAAATAATTACGAGTAGTTCTCAAATCAAATTTGACTTGTGATGTTTAATTACTTTGTATTGGACCACAGAAATAACGAACATATTGGTTGCGGATCAAATCATAACAAATTGGTGGGTCAAAATACAAAAGAAGAGAAACAAAGAATAAAAAAAAGTGAGGCAGATATAAAATGAGCGCTCATAGAAATAGGAGGAAAGCAAAACAAAGTGTAAAACTTTTAGAGTTTTAGTGTTTGTATAAAAGCAAAGACTAAGAATATTAGTTGACATAATTTCAGTAAGAGAGAAATAAGGTAGAGAAAAGAAAAATAAATCAAATACACACTATTGTAGAATCTTGGTACTGAGTTAAGGTAAGCCAACATCTATTCCATTGTTCTCTTTGATCATATCATGAGGCTATTTTATTTCATAAATAAACTTGTCTTTATATATATATGTTAGTCCGTGCATCTCACATAACGGCATATAAGAGAGATTGTAATGTTATATACGAGTGTATTCATCTCATAAGCTGAAGTGTGTGATAAATTATACACAATTTGACTATCACATTAATACCACACGCTAGCGAGTAGCGAGTGCTAATTAATGTTGTATTTCAGGCACACATCTTTTTGTAATGCAACTCTTTAGCACATAATATACAAACATGCATTAATAACCAACAAAAATGTACGTACTCCCTCTATATATATATTCGCTAATTAAGGTAACAAAATGGGTAGTTATACTGAAGGAAAAATGGAAAAGATTGGAAAGAGATACATCGGTAAGGTGGCTATAATCACTGCATCAATTCAAGGTATTGGCTTATGCATTGCTGAACGCCTTGGGATGGAAGGAGCTTCTGTTGTCATCTCTTCTCGCAAATAGGTTGGTTGTTCTTGCATAAAATTTTTGTTTGTATTTGATTGTAAGGGAAGGAGGAAAATTTTTGTGGATGACTATACGGAATAATCACTTTTGGTTTATGTAGCCGACCCCACGTACTTATGGGATTAAGGCTTTGATCAATTGACTTATCAATTAATTTGTGCTATCTTTATTGACAGGATTAGTATTTGATTAATGTTGTTCAAATGCTTGCAGAAAAACGTGGATGAAGCAGTAGAGATGCTATATAGCAAAGGAATTAACGTTTTAGGCGTTGTTTGTCACGTCTCCAATGCAGAACAGAGGAAAAATATGATAGACCTTACTATTCAGGTTAATTAATTATATTTTTGCTAATAATTAATCAGAGGTTTTGATGAGTGTTATGCTAGAATTATATCAATTCTACATTATATTCTAGCAAACAACACAACACCTTAATTAGTTTGGATTATTAGTGTGTGATTATTGATTACAATCTGAATTGTCGACAGTTATTGGTTTGCAGAAATTTGGGAAGATAGACGTGATTGTATCAAATGCAGCTGTTAATCCAACACCGGACACGATCTTAAACACACAAGAATCTGCCCTCGACAAGTTATGGGAGGTTAATGTGAAAGCTCCTATACTTCTTCTCCAGGTAAGTTTTGTTACAAATATAAAACAACACTATGTTACACAAAAAAAAACTTTTTACTTTGATTTTTTGCACTATTCATATATCCATTATATGGTGACATTTAAAGTTGTAACACGTAAATTACATTTGCGAAAGCAAAATATGGATAATTATATTTGTTTCATAGGATGCTGCACCCCATTTGACAAAGGAGTCAGCCATCATATTATCTCCTCAATTACTGCGTATCAGCCTATGCCTTTGATGACTATGTATGGAGTCACCAAGACAGCCCTTCATGGTCTTACTAAGGTACGAGTAATTATTGTTTCGATCATGCATGTATCCATCCGGGCTCTATAAAGATAGTCACAGAGTACCTCGATTTTTCTTTGCGAAATTACATTTAAATTCATTTCCATTACGACCACTTTCACTCATGTACTACGTGTTTATGTACGTTTATTTCTAGGCACTAGCCGCAGTAATGGCACCAAATACTCGCGTAAACGTGTGTTGCCCCTGGCTATATTCCTACACATTTCTCAGGAATTATCACAAAGTCCGACTCAATTGTAAGTATTACAAGGCAATCAGCTTGCTTTTATTCTGATAGAGCGAGTATACAAAAATACTTAAACTGATGATTGAAGCCCAAAATTGGTTTATATACTTTATCATATACATTTTTGTTGTTGCTTAAAGCAAATTTTTTTTTATTTTTTTCTTGTAACGTTGTAGAGGCAAATTTTCGAGGAAGGGATTCTACTTAAAAAGTTTGGAAGTACAAAAGATATAGCTGATGCTACCGCCTTTCTAGCTTCGAACGAGGCCTCTTACATCACCGGTGAAACTTTACTGGTCTCCGGAGGAATGCATACTCGACTCTAAGCTACCGCCTTTACCTCCCCTCCTAGTCATTAATTATACGTACTGTCTATACTCCGTTGAATCCTTATAAATTATGGAGCTTGAAATAAATCTTAGAGGTTAGTGTTGCAAATCTTGACCTTAGCTTGATTATATTTATGTTAATTAATTTAATCAACTTACACATCAACATATTTTTTATATGTGTAGAGGATGAATTTTGTAATTTTTTTTTAAGAAGAAAAAGAAAAGGTTCAAGAGGGTGGAGGGGCAAACCTTGTTACGTTCTAGTGTTCTACTCTTGTATGATATTTGTCTAATGTAATAAATGTATTGTCCTAGTTACAACTACGAGATGTCAAATATTGTCAAATTCTTTTTCGTCGCGTGTTGCTCAAACTCGAGTAGCCATGTTTGATTTATTATAATGTGTGTTAATGTTGTTATATACAGTATACTTATATATTCCTTACAAAAAAATAATAAAAAATAAAAAAATAAAAAACCTAGAGAGCGCCAAGGAGATCAAGACTTAGCATCCAAAGGTCGGGTTTCTGTAAATAGGGTGTTTACAAAGCTACAAAATACTTTTAATAAATATGAGAAATTGATCAAAATTGGTGTGCCGTGATAAACATCACTGACTTCTTAAAATTGAAATTCCGACGTAATCAGAATGGTCAATTATATTTTTCGATACATTCCTTACACACCACTTTCACACAAATGCACTTTACATTAGGGTGGGAGGTTGGAACCACATAAACTTAGACCCAAAAAAGAGTTTTATTTAGTTATTGTTGTTGAGCTAGCTTACGGGTTTCTGAAATTCTCCCCAAGTAATATGTAATCAAAGCATGGAAGATCAAGATCCAACATAAAGTTAATCAGAATAAACAAGGTGATTAACTACTATAAACTACCACATAACTAAGGAAATTACAAAGAGGCTACAAATTAAAGTAAGATCATACGAAGGATATAGGAAGAGAAGAATATCAATAGACATTTGTTGTTAAATGAATACAGACATTAAAAAAAGTCTACTCCACAACTATCCCGTGGACAAATATAATAAGCCACAACCATTTATCCCGTGGACAAATATGATAAGTAACAATCCGACCGTACAGCATTGACCTGTTGTCATATACAGCTTAGTATTGGTGGCTATACAAAGAATTCGAGTGGCGGCCGGCCTAATGAAAAAATATATCAAGTAGTAATAAATTTCATAGTTAATGAGTATAGATTTTGTTATAAAATAAGGTGTACCCCTTGGTATGCACCAAGAGGCCATTTAACATGTACCATATTTGCAGCTATATATACGACATTTGTATCTCAAATCCATCACACAAGACACAACTCGACACAAAAACGGTGAAGAAGTAGAGATCAGATGAAGAAGGAGAATGGTTGCGTTGGTTTTGTTCTGATGCTTGCTTTTCTGCTGCTGTTAACTGCGCCTGAAACCACGGCGTCTGCTCGCCAACTTCTTCCCCTTTCAAACATTATTAACATCAATTCTCTCGCTGATACAACATGCTATATGTGCGAGGAC